CCCAGTATGAGTCACAGTTTCCTGTTTCTTTTTATGTTTCATCCTTTTCCTTTGAAACTGGATATTTTATGTGATATCGCAACTCTGGATTCTGATTTTATTTTTTTTTTCTGCAGAGTGTTAATTGTTAACTTATTTCAGAATAAATTGCTTGGTGTTACTGTGTGGTGTTAATGTCTTCTCCATGATTGCTACTCTCGCTCGCTCCTCAACTTTTTTTTTTAACTCTAATTTTCTTTTTTTAGATTGGCTTCTTAGAGTTCACCTGGGTCTGTATAGCTTAGTGTGTAGCTAATGAGTAGTTGGCAGTTGTGCTTAAGTCAATAAGGTTTGCACCCCTCTCCCAGTGGATTGTTGTGCATTGAGAAGCACACTCAGGGTTTAGGCTGTTTTTAAGTTGAGCTCTTTTACTTTCTGTTGGAGTCTCTTAAGTCTCCCTTGTATTGCACACAGATCCCAAGCAGCAAGGGATATGTGAAGAGCTTGTTTTCTCTCATGTATCCCTAATTAGTTGGCATTTTGTAGGGAGTTTGGGAATTTATGGGTCTCCTGTGCTTGTGTACGTAATCTCCTAGCCAGTCTTCACCTTAGGGATTTGTGGAGAGTTTATCAGGACATTCTCTATGGTTCTCTCATTTCCAGCATCTCTGTTGCATTCCTAGTTAATCCTCAGGTTTCAGCTTGCTGAAACTGGTTTAAAAATTTCAGACTGAGAAAGCAGTGGTCTTTCTGTTTCTTGCTGGGTATGTGTTTTCTGCCCTTTATTCAAAATCAAAGTCATTCCCTTTCAGCAATGAAGCTATTGGTTTTCATAGCCAACATCATCGTGATGGAACGACCAAGTTAGTGGAGTAGTGAGAGGGATAGAGGCAGCCCCTGGTAAGACATAGACTTCACTGTTCTTATTAGAGGTTCAGCTGTTTTTAATTAATATACTCTGGCTTTGATGGTTGCCTTTGGTTGGTTTTGACAATTTTATCCAGTTTTGTGATTGTTCTTTTTGGGGAGAAAGTTTGTTCTCCTCCACTAGAGGGAGTCTAACTTCAGAACTCAGATTTTAAAACGCAGGTATATTATGCAGACTTCAAAGATAAATGCCCTTTTCCTTAACTCTATTTTTTCTATTGAGATAGAGAACAAGTAATTTTTTAAAAAGTGAGAAAAAAAATAGCAAAGACGGGAGAATGGGTGAACCTTGATTAAGTTTTAGATTTCTAAGTAGAGACACTTAACTTTTGTGTAAGTAGATTTGCTCAAACATGAGGTTGACTGAATAATTTGGTGGCTCTCTTGGAACATGCTTGTTTCTTCAGAGTGACAAAACACTCTACAGTGTGACAAAACATTTTCCCCTATGATGTTCCTTGCTTCATAACAGTTTTTATGAAGTAGGTATTGTATTTATGATAATTTTACAGATAAGGAAACAAGTTCTCAGATTAAGGATTTACCCATGATCTCAGCCTTTGTATGTAGTAGAGATGGGACTTGAGCCCATTTCTTTGGACTTCTCCTTGTTCTTTATAGTCTACATAACTGCTTTTCTCTCCTTACCATGTCATAATTACTTGAAGTCTCCTTGATGATCTTAGTGTAGTTACTGATGCAGATAGTACTTTAGGTTGGAATAGTTCACAACAGTCTTCCTAAATTTTTACTAGGAACTCAAATTCTTTTTTCCCCCAAATGATAATCATTCTTAACTTATTGAAGAGTCCTTACTCATTCAGGCAGTTATGAAGCAAACTGGTAAGAGTCACAGCAAGAGATGTCCCATGGCAGCTTCCTCTGCCAGCTTCCTCTTTTTTTCTTGCTCCATAGATGCAGATTCTGCCCAAGAAGCCCCTGCATTGCAGAGGGACTGGAGATCTGTATGATCTGTTTATTTCGCAGTTGACAAGGGTAAGGGGGCCTTTTTGGGGGAGGCTCTTGGGTTCCCTGAATTTAGCTTTATGCAGCTGGGATGATATGTATTTTAGAATTCTTAAACTTAGTATTTTTTAAAACCCTTCTATGAATTGTTTGCCCTACATAACTTAACTGTCAGATTATCATATTAAAAAGCATTATAATGTGGTGGTGTTTTTTGTTTTTTTTTTAAAGTTCTGTTCAACATAATTTTCACACAAACATAATTCATGCTTCTAGAAATTTCAAATCTGGGATCATTTAGAATATTAGTAATACTGAGTATATGTAAGTAAAATGTCACTGCAATGGAAAGTTTAAGTAGGTTTTTAGATAACCATCTATTTCTGTAGCCTATGATAGTTGTGCTTTATTAATCTGCTCTGTTCCTTTTCCATGTATTCATCAATCCATAGAGTGAAAAAGGGACTTGGATCTATCCCAAACATTGTGGGTGGGTGCGGTGTCTTTTTTTCTTGCTTCTAGATATCATTACTGGCTTCCTTGAATTCTGTGTCTCCCTTACATGCCAATGGAATTTGAGTTATATCTGCAGACAAACTCTGTTTATTAGGAACTGTGTAAAAGTGAAGATTTATAGTTCTCAATTAGTAAAGTTACAGAACAAATGCCAGAAATGTTGGTATTTATAATAGTATGCAATCAGTGAAATAGACAAGGAAGAGTTTGATGCACTTTTAAAGTTGCAGAAGGATTAGACAGATGATTATGACTTTGATGGGTAGACTTGAGAAGATTTGAATTGCTAATGGTCTGATAGACTTATTTTCATTTTTGAGGATGTTATTATACCTAGTAAAGTAGCTTTGTTTATCTAATGAAATAGTGTACATTTCTATAGTCTAAATTGATGTTTTTAGTATTCTATACTTTTATACTTTCAAGTGATCCTCTTTAAACATATAATTTTTAGATATTAAAGTCAATAATACTTTGTATGTTATGCTTACCACTGTTAATAAACATTCCGCTTTCTAGTGCCAACATATTTGGAAAACTGTTTGTATTCTTAAACATCTTAAATGACTTTTTTTTTTCTTCTTTTTCTTTCTTTCTGTTTTCTTTAAGCCATAAGGATGAGTTTACCATTATTCCTGTACTGGTTGGAGCTCTGAGTGAGTCAAAAGAACAGGAATTCGGAAAACTCTTCAGTAAATATCTAGCGGATCCTAGTAATCTCTTTGTGGTTTCTTCTGATTTCTGCCATTGGGGTAAGTTCTAGATTTTAACATATCATGGTAGATATTGTATGCTTGTGAATAAAGGAATCTTCACCTTAAGCTTTAATTTTCACTTATCACTTTTCTTCAGAAATCTTAAAATTTTAGTGACAATGTTTACAAGTGAATAAAAAAGTCTTTTGGTCATTTACAAAAGATCAGATTATAATAGTGGATTATGGATACATTTCCAAAGGCGACTGGTATAATTGGATTCACACTGTGAGGGCATCCTTACTTAGGTACTTATATTAGTGGGAGTTAAGATCTTTTGACCCATTTTCCAGATAGACTATGCATTGTAGAGTCTCTGTAGTTGGTTTTGTGGTGGATAAAACAATAGTTCTTCATTAGAACATAGATGATGTGTTATGCTAGTCTTTTTCTATATTTCCTTTTTTTATAATAAGTAGTTTTTTCTTTCTTTTTGCCCTTTGGTGCTAAATTTTTGCCCATGGTTGCCATCAATTAGAAGCTACCCTCCAAAAATAGGACATTGGCTATTATCAGTATAGTCTGCATTGGTAGTGGTTTATACAGGTAAGGACTCTAGTGATTTTTGTGATTAATGTGACTTTAGAATAATAATGACTATGTCATAGAGTTATGTGAACCCTCTGTGGATGCCTCTTTTAGTATATTTTGTCTTTTGGATTGTTTGGATCTAATTTACTCTTAATTACCTAGTAGTATCTCCATGTATTTCTGAATTCCATTCCTTTTAGGATATCTCCTTGACCCATTTATTCATTGCTTAAGGATGCCAATATCCATTCATCAGCTCTTTCTTTGATTGTAGAGAAAAGATATCAAAGCAGAAGACCATAATTTTTTTTTCACTTTAAAATGACCTTTTATTTACATGAGAAAGCTTCAGAAAGTTTGTGGAAACATGGAATTAAAAGACAAGTTTTTAAATATAATTTTATTGTGAGGTTTACATGGAAGAATATCAATTTTACATTCATTTCATTTCATTGCAATGATTACGATCCCTTCATGCATCATCAAATAACCAAAGGGTATACCCCACAGGCCATCAGCACACAGCCCCTCTCCCTCCCTGAGTTCATGAGTTCAGTGTCCCCAGCCACTCCATCTGCCCACGTCATTGTCTCTGTCTCCATCCCTGGCATCTCTGCCTCTCTGGGTAGGGTCCTGCTCTCTGCTCTTCTCACTTGGTGGTCCCAGGGATCTCCGCTCCTGCGCTGCAGAATCAATCACTTCCCTCCTTTTGTCAAAAAACATCTACCTCTATATTTCCTACCCTCACACTCAGTCCTGATGGCAGTTATTTACTGTTGTACCACAAGAGTCTTATCCCCATTTCTTTTTGCCAGCCTGGTCCCAACAGATTGGAAATCTTTCAGTGGAGATTCTACCTTCCCTCACCCCTTCTGGAACTAGGCTCCCTCTTGAAAGCTTGTAAGCCAGTCACTTCTTGCCTTTTATAGGCCCCCCCCATTTTGGGTAGCCAATGAGAAGACCATAATTTTTAAGATAAAATTCTAGTATGATGAAAACCATCCTTAATAAGCTATAGGGAGTCTTGGCTTTTATATGTTTTATCCATTGGTTACCAGAGTTGATTCAGTGTATCTGGTTGGTTAGGTTGGTATCTTCTTTTAACCTGTCACTCTGAGTAGCCTTCTTAAAGCTTTCATCTCAGTTGAAAACCATTGTCCCTAATGGTATAGTTTGTTTTGTTTTTTAACATAAGGCAGTGATTCTCAACTGGGGGCATTTTTTGCCTCCTCAAGGGTATTTGGCAATGCCTGGAAGAGACGTATTTGGTCATCACAAGTAAGAGGAATAGGTGTGCTCCTAGCATCTAGTGGAGGGGTGGGGACCTTTTTTTCTGTCAAAATTCATAAAATTGTTTTCCGACCATGCAAAATTATCAATTTAAAAATTAGCCTGTTATATTTGTTCAAACATTTAATTAACTCACCCCTAATGTGACTCAAAGGCACTTAACAATAACAACAATGTGATGGCTGGAGTCCTGGTGTGGCACCATTGGATAAGAACTTGACCTCAAGGTCAGTTTGAACTGTAGGGTCTCCAGTTCAGACCCATCCAGCTACTTCTCAGAAACCCTATACAGGGTCAGGACCGATTCAACGGCACTTAACAACAACACTGAGATGACTGGAACTGTGGTTGCCTTGGCAGGGGCCAGACTAAATGTAAGGTCCACCGGCTGGATGCTCCTACCCCTGATCTAGTGGGTAGAGGTCAGGGATACTACTGCACATCTAGTTGTTGTCTAGAATGTTAATAGTGCTGAGGTTCGAAAATCCTAGTTTAGTATATTCAGAGAGCTGAACATCCTTAATAAATCCCCAAAGACACTCTCAAGGTTCTTTAATAACTAATTCTATTGGATAGTTGATATGCTATATAGAAGTTAATTTTTTATGGTTGTAAAGAGTTTTAGGATTAGATACTAGGTGCTTAAATGGACATTTTGCTTGTTTCTTTGAAATTGTGAAATTTAGTGATAGTTTATCTTAACCTAGGGAACTCATTACTGTCAGTAGGCTATGTTTTGGGCATTGTGAATTTGCTTTGGTAACAAAACATGTTTTGGAAATAAAGAATTCTCAAAGCTCTGTTTCTTCCTCTTTGATTTTTAAGGCTATTATTAATTACTTGATTTAATTAGCTTCCCTGATATTGTTCTTCAGGGTCTGAAAACTGTCTAGGTTGGCACCATGTGCAACCACAATGTAAATCCACATAAAACATTAGTAGGTGCAATGATACTATTATATTAATACTCTTTTCTGTGGAATTTTTTTTTTTTTAATCTGATTCATGAAGAGATAGTCTGATAAACTAAGGATTTTTAAATCCTCAGTATGTTTGAAACAGGCAAACTCTAGTCTTTAACTATATTTATGGTTGTTGTTGTTATTAAGTGCTGTCGAGTCGGTTCCGACCCATAGCGACCCTGTACAGGGTTTCCGAGGGTGTAAATCCTTACGGGAGTAGAAAGCCTCATCTTTCTCCCGCGGAGCGGCTGGTAGTTTCGAACCGCTGACCTTAAGGTTCGCAGCCTGATTCGTAACCACTACGCTACCAGAGGGAAAGAAAATTAATTCTATTTTACATTCTACCTAGAATTTCAGAAAATTGGTTAGGCCTTGTGATCGTTCCTGATTACTTGAAAATCTTAACATTTAAATGGTAGAATACAATTTCCTTGCTATAATTATAAAAAGAGTCTAAAAATTTAGAATATTGATAAATGCTAGCCATAAAATTTATTCAAAACTGAAACATTTATTTGCATTTGGTGATTAAGTAACAAAATTTTCCAAATAACCTTTTTTTCTTATCATCTAGCAATTACTAACAATATTTTGTGCTTATAGAAGGCACTATACTAGTTCATGCTAGAAAATTTGATGGGGGTTGGCAAGAAGGGGAAGTTGTCACATGGACATATTTATTCATTTTTAATACATAGTAATAATAACTCATACAGATTCATTCTCTATTTGTTGAAGTATACCCATTCCTCACTTATTAACATGATTAGGTTCAAAGAGCAGGTTGTCATGTGAAAATCAGCATTATGTGAAAACAGGGGATGACCACATCATACCACAAAATGGAAGATGACATACATATTTGTCAAACCACTGTGAATCATGACCCAGCCAAGGTTGACTCTATATTCTTAACCATCAAAGCCAATGTTACGCTTAACTTCTTACTGCCACTTATACATTGTTAATGCATAAAAATAGATAGTAAATTTTTTAATGTTGTTGTAAATGAGAAGTCAGATAATAAGATAGTTGATAAATGAGGAGTAGGTGTAGTATGAATCGTTGGCTGACTATGAGTTAAACTATCTTTACTTAGAAATTAAGTTTCATGTTTCTGAAATTCATGCTTCACTAGCATTGAAACATCTTTCCTGATGTAGGAAGAGTGTTGTATTCCCATCTTTAAAAAATCTACCTTTTTTCTCATGAAGATAATATTTATGGGTGTTTGTTTCTTTTTAAAAACACACTGTAAAAAACTAATCATAACACTGAATTCTAAATTAGTATACAGGAAGGATTCTGTTCTCTAAGCATGCAGAGGCATGAAAAGACACAGTGAATTAGGTTCTTTTAACACATTTCTTAATAACTGGTTTTAAAAGAAAAATCACTTGATTATGGCACATAGCGAATTACTTAGATTTTTATACCATGGAAGTTTTTTTTTTTAAATAATAATATGTTACATTACTGGCAGTGACCACTTTTAAAATCATTGATTCTCCTTATAGTTTGTTTACCTTCTCTGAAAAAGAAAGTGACAACTTTGTGATAAAGACAGTTGAAAGTTCTGTTTGAAAATTGAAAGGATTTTGTCTTATTGACCTTATTTGTTAATCAATATCCATTGTAAGAATGCTCTTTTTTTAAAAAATGTATTTTACTTTAAATATGTTCATTTTTCAGATTCTGTTTAGCTTTTATTTAGACTTAAAAAGAGACATTAAGTGGTAAAAAGTAGAAAAAATTAAATTCTCTTAAAGTTTTCCTGTGGGGCGAGATAAACTGAAAAAAGGGGACAGGAACCTAGATTCTATTGTGCCATCTTTTTTATATCTCCGCATTTGAGTACTCTAAAAGGAAATCATGAATTTCAATTCCTGCCTTTTATTCTATCAGTATTACACAGAGGGATATCCAATAGGATGATGTTTCCCAGGTAACCCTTCTCTGCTCCTGCTACTAGCAGGAAGCAGAATAAATGAAAGGACATTTGCTGCTGTTAAAAAAAATTTTTTTTTTTTTTTTTACCATTGTTAAGTAGTATCCTGATACTTTGTGTAATGTATCAAGTTCTATATCCTATTAGATGGTTCCATTATAAGTGAATTTTGTCTGGCCCTTTAATTTGTTTCTAATTAGTAAAATTTTATTCTGTTTTTCTAAGTTTCAGTTTTTGCTTTTCTCCATATATGCTCTTTATTTGTG